CGGTGGCGGTGGAGGGTGTTGCAGTTCCAGCGGTGCTGGCGGAACTGGTGCTGGCACTCCGCCGCCCACTCCGCCACGCCCAGCCCGATGGAGCGCATGGCCTCGGGGTGCCGCTGGCATAGCTGCCGCTGCCGGCTCACCAAGCCCGGCACGTTGTCACACATCACCCGCGACGAACCCAGCGCCCCCATGTACCTGCGGGGAGCAAAGGCGCACGGGCAGCTGGGGAGAGGGCGTGTGGGACAGGCCTGGGGGACACGGGCCGGGGGAGCTATGAGTAGGGCACTGGAGATGGGGAGCTACTGGGAAAGGGCCTGGCACTGACTGGCCGCTATTGGGAAGGGGAAGGGCACGGAGTGGGCCTGGGGAGCTGCTAGGGAGGGGACTGACTGAGGAGCGAGGGGCTCTTAGGGGCGGCACAGAGTCCGACTCGTACAGCGCTAGGTGCCCTTATGCCTGCCGGTTTGCCAGGAGCCAATACTGTTTTGTGATTCAAGGAGCCCTCTACCTTTCCCTTTGTTTTCCTCCCAGGAGCAAAAGCCGCAGAGCGTCTTTTCCTGCCTGTACTACAACCTTTTCAGCCTCTCTTCATGCCTCCCTTTCATCTCTAGAGTCTAATTTGCAGTTGCGTTTGCTTTTTGGGTAGAAACCTTTTCCAAATCCTATGTCTGCTGCGTCTTGCTACCGAAACTCTGGAATAATCGAACACTCCTTGATAGCTCCTTACTTTGATTTTTGTCAGCTTTGTTTCTTAAATTACATCACCATCTGCATCCAGATGTTCTCTATTAGGCCTGAAATGTTTAGAAAGGTACTTTTTATAAAACCCAAACCGCCATGGGTGTCTTTTGAAGGGATCACACAGCAGTAAATGTCTTTCCCCCCGTATTTTCATTAGTTTGTGATCATCAAATCGTTAAAGCTATTATTTGGACACAATACTATTGGGTAACACATAAAAGACTGCATGACAAAAAGCTCTTGCAATAAATAATGTGTATACTCTTATGGACACAGAAATAGCAATTGTATTGAAAAAGGGTCAGTATGATAAATCGACCTTTGATCCAGTGTTAGCCTAAATGCATTCCCTGGACACGATGTTTACAAAGGGAAGTTTAACTCCTCTTCCTTAGTGAAGTGTCTGTTTTGTTTTAAGACCCTATTCTCTGAAGGAAATCTCTTATTCTAGGGTCCCCCTTCATTAGCCCTGTGTTTTGTAGCTCGATTATTACTATCCTAACCAGCTCAAATATCTTTTGAACTAGGAGCTGACAAGCTGTGGTCCCAATAGGCTTCTTCGACATTCATTTGGAGTTTTTAGTTCAGTGATGAGAAACTTTTTTTTTCTCCTTAGGAAAAGGCTGGAGGAGGGGCTGAGGGGAGTCAAGAGTCTGAACAAAATCCTGCTGGAGACTATTCTGACAATTCATGGAAGGGAATGAACAAGGAGGGAAGGTAGTAAGCAACACTGAAACGCAAGTGTATACAAGCTTGGCCCTAGTGCAAACTGCACCCCGCCTCTTTCTGCTTGAATTTAGCCAGTGGATTACCCGAGAGGGCTTTCGGACAAGTTCATTTTCAGATGTCATTTTACATGCAAAATAAATAAACAAAAGGACGTGGATAGTCAATCAAGGAGAATCAATCAGCTATATCTTTGAACGTACACCGGTGCAAAAACTTGTTGCACGCGGAGCGACATCGTCATGCATTTTCCTTAGCTCGATCCTTGGATGGATTCTAAGGATACGTGGTGATAAGAGCTCTGCAGGGCGTATTTTAATCAACCTCCAACTGACTCTTTGCTGTTACTGTCCACGCTAAAAGCGCTCATCAGTCCCAGATCAAAGAATCTTCCTTAGGGCACATAGTGAAACAAACCTTTAATTGTTAAGGCTGGGGACGGAGGAGTGGGAGCTGGGAGGGAAAAGAGAAGTTGAAAGAAGACGCAGTACAATTCGGCTTCATTTAGAATTGGAGTTCTTGTATCTGAACAACCGGCGGCGACAAGCTTTATTGTGTGACAACTAAACGGGAGGGGAAAGTGTCAATTCTTCTTGTAGTTTACTATTAATTTTATCCCACCGAGAGCAAATAAAACCTTTGCAATCGCAGAACTTACCACCACGAAGCAGGCACTTCTGGGGTAATGCCGCACAAGATCAGTGGAACCGCAAACCAGATCCCAAAGCGAAAGTTCATATTAGAAACACTTCACTCCGCATCAGTAGTAATGTGAAGGGCGGAGGAAATCCCATGGAACAAAACCTCCTGACATGTAGCCAAATGTACCTTGAGAGCGTCTCTCCTCACCGGCTTCAGCGTCTCACCATTCCCAGGGCATAGCGGTCAGGGTTACTGATGCGCTCTCAGGTTCAGGGCGAAGACAATGTGTCTGTGCAGAACTCCGGAGTCCGCTCAGTCCGTCCAGACTCACATCCTCCAGGATCAGTTCCGCTCTCATCCTTCTCCCTTGCCCCGATGCTGCTCTTCTGCGGTCAGAGCAAAGCGGAGGGGCTGCTGTGGGTTGCTTACAGGCTGGGTGGGGATGGATGAAATGATGTGGACACGCTGGAGGAGGTAACACCTCTGAGCGGGGAAGGAATCCCGATGCTTTCCAATAACCTTACATCCAAAAGCGTTAGTTCAAACCCTCCCCAAACACTGCACGGGATACGTTACTAGTGAGAATCCAGCAATAAAGTCGCGAGACAATGGGAAATACTTAGCACGTCTCAATATCCGGCATGATAACGTTGTACTGTCTCATGCAGAGATATGTTTGGTATTCTAGATAGACACGCCACTCGAATTATGCATCTTGACTATAAAATCATGCATAAGAAACAGGGGATGTTGTCCTGATTTTCTTTAATTTGCTCTTCCTGGCCCTGGGAAATTCGGAGGGAGGATGTTCTAAATCCGTCCCATCTGAAGACACTGCTTGACCAAGGCGATTCTAAAAGAGCAGGGACCGGGTGCAATCGAGAGCACAATGCGAGCAAGCGCCATGAGCCGCGTGAAACTGGGCTCCACTGTATTTAACGCGCCATCTACAATGTCACCCTGATTCCTCTTCCTCTTCCCCTGACTGGGAAATTCGGAGGGAGGATGTTCTAAATCCGTCCCATCTGAAGACACTGCTTGACCAAGGCGATTCTAAAAGAGCAGGGACCGGGTGCAATCGAGAGCACAATGCGAGCAAGCGCCATGAGCCGCGTGAAACTGGGCTCCACTGTATTTAACGCGCCATCTACAATGTCACCCTGATTCCTCTTCCTCTTCCCCTGACTTGAGAGACCCAGCAGCAGCAAGAAGCAGATGGGACAGCTGGTCAGGAAGGCTCACGCGCCCGCGGGCATGCTTCACCGCGCCCACCCTGCGGCGTGCCACCTGGAAACCGGGCACCTGTGCTGGACAACTGCCCCCTCCGGCCGTGCCTCGCCGAATGACCGCGGCAGAGCAATCGCGGGGCTGTTCAGATCCCAAACAGTGACGAGTCCATTCAACTTCCCGAAGGGAGCGGTGCGCGAGAGGCGCTCCGTGCGCTGACGGGTAACTGCATTGCAGGTTGGGGACCTGCGGCGACTCTTGTTGGAGTCAATGGGAAATGTGCCACTGATTTCAAGGGGAGTTGGCCCAGGCCCCGAGGCAGCGGGCGTGGGGCAGGCTGTCATCTAGAAGAGAGTGAGCCCATGGAAAATCAAGCCAGCTCGCTGCTCTGGAGGCTTGAAGCGGCTACAGCGCTGTCCCGCGGGAGAATACCCCGCGCTAGTTTAGGTGCCGCGGATCTGAAGCAAGGGCTGGTCGCTGCCGGCCCAAGACAGGTTTATACCCGCCAAGACTAGTCCATTCGACATCCACCTGCCTGCAAAGCGGAGGGAGCCCACGCCACGCGTGCTCTAGGGAAGGGCACGACGGGCCTTCCTGCGGCTAGCAGGCTTGTGTCATTTGGCTCAGCCAAAGGCGCAGGCAGAGAGCAATGCTCGCACCTAGCTAGCCCGACCAGTCTCTAGCGCGCAGGAGACGTGCAAAGCAGAGCTCGACAAAGGCACTAGTGGGGGGAGCCTCCAAGCAGAGCTCTTCAGAGATTTACATTGACCAGGAAGTGAAGATGCTTCCCTGGAAATTTGTGATTGGAGAGGGATTTGAAGGCTTCTATATGACAATTATTAAGAGGACCTTGTGCTTTCCATTCCCGGAGAGTTCATCGAGACTAATGATAGAGGAAATACCCATGGGAGAGGGGGAAAGGAGAAAAGGAAGGTGAATGAGCTAAGCCCTGGCAGAGTGAATGGACAAGATGAAAATAAGAAACATCATCCAGGATAGAAAAGGCAAAGTTGGGCAGGACCTGCAAGAGCAGATGAGCAGGCTAATAGTTGGTAGGCAAGGCAGTAGCAGTTCAGGGATTTAAAGAGAGTAGTGAGATGGTCAGATCTAATGAGCAAGGGGAAAATATCAATCATATTTCAAACAGACTGGAGAGAAGCAATGTTAAGCAAGCTAGAGATGAGATGGGATAGTAACCATGGCAGGAGAAAATCCAGCAGCCAGTAGGACATTCCAATCTCTTTTCAAATCCCTCTTCTTCAGAAGGCCTATATTTCAGCTCAAGTGAAAAGCTAAGGAAGATTGTGGAGATTTTTCCCCTCTTCTCTATGGGATCTAAACCTGTTTTAAACAGCCATAATCCAGTTTAAAAATGTCACATAAGTGTTCTGACACTTAAACGTTTAACTGACAAAAATAAAGGATCAGAAGGGAAGATATAAGGACATTGACAGGGTGTGTCTACATAGCATCCGTAGCTCAAAATAAGCTATACAATTTGAGCTACGCAAATTGTGTAGCTTATTTCAAAATTTAGTGCTGTCTACAAAACACTTATTTAGAAATAAATGGCTATTCTGAAACATCCCTTATATCTTGTGGAATAAGGTTTACAGAGACTCGGAATAGTGAGCCCATTATATTTTGAAATAACGGGCACCCTCAAAAGATATGGAATAGCTATTTCCGGATAGCACTGCAGTGTAGATGTAGCCTGACTGACACTAAATGAAATGGAGGGTAGGGGTGTGAAGAATTATTTCTGAAAATTATATTAAAATTAGCTATGTAAGTATATTCAGCCTTCTAGCATAAATAGTGTTTTGTGATTTTTGTGAAGGTTTAGGATCTTGGATTTCTATTTTCTGCTTAGTTTTGGCGGGAGAGGTGCTGATAAAAGAGATATTTCTTCTTCACGCTAACTTACATATTTGTTTGACAATATCACTGTAAATATTATTTCTTTATTACAATCCCTGCCTCTATTTTGACTTTTGACATACTGGACTTGTAATAGCCCTTTCTGATTACAGTGTGCACATAAAAATTTCACATCAATTGAAAGGGTTTATTCTGCTCACATTGTACATTATGCACTTAAGAATTACCTTTGTAGAAAGGATGGGCTATTGAGTCAAATCATTTGTCTTTGATAAGCACAATCCTATGACAATAGTGCCAGATTTTGAAATATGAGCACCAGAAGTTAAACATCTAAAATATATATATTTAAGCACTTAAAGGTGGCCTGTTTTTCAGAAACGTTGAGTGCCACAGAGCTAGGCAAAACATCCTCTTGTCTTTGCAATGCATATTGCTTGGCAAAATCCACAAGGCTTTTGGGAGGAGATATCACAAGGGTAAGATGCTAAACACGGAATCTTATCCAAAAAGGGGCTAATGCATCTAGATATTTCACTGGTTTAAATATAGATGAATAGAATCACTAAATAAAATTTTTTTTAAAAAGACAATCTTCTAAAAATGCACCAAAAGAGTGAAAAAATTTTCAGCTACCAATTTAGGAGAAAGATTGGATGGCTAACAGTTTGCAACTGCCTTGAATTGAACTTAGCCATCCACTCTTTTTCCTAAATTGGTAGCTGAAAACTTTATTTTCAGTCTTTTGGTGTGCTTTTAGAAAGATTGTCTTTTAAAAATATTTTAAAAAATATTTTTTTGTCTTTTTGGTGTCAGGTGTGGGGTGGGGACTGCCGTGGGTGCCGTGAGCCAGAGCAGGCAGGATGGCCTGCCTGGTCGGTGGCCTGCCAGAAGGGCTGGGAGCCGGCGCTTGCGTGGGGTGGCCTGCCTTGTCAGGGGAGCCAGGTGGCAGAACACATGGGCACATGCCTGCAGGAGCTGGTGGGGACAGATGGTGTATGCGCAGGAGGGGCAAGTTGAAAATCCCATGACAGACAAGAATGGTGATGGCTTAATAGAAACATTGCCTAAAAAGATGTCAGTGTGCGCACTCTAGGCACTCTTGCAAAATTTAAAAATACATCCTATGCATGGAAGAACAATTCAAGGTAACCTTCCCCCAGCACCTGAAATATACTACTCTGTGTTAGCTCTTACTTAAAATATGGGAGGTGAAATGTGGGGGGAGGGTGAAGCAAACTTGCTGTCTTGATCCCAATGCTCCCTTTATACTTCCTCCTGCCTGTGGTCTCATTTCAAACTGGCCAAGGTCAAGAACCATCATTTTCTCTGAGCAGGAAAAGACAAACTTAGATCTTCAAAAATGTAATGAGTGCAAGATTAGCACTTTCTGGATGTACTTCCTCCCCCCCTGCCTAAGCAGTGGTTTAAAATGTCTCCAAAACCATACCCTCTGTAGAGACGCTGTCTGACAGATACCTGGGGCTAGAGGGAATATTTGGGCTAAAAAGATGCCCTTCCTCTAGCCTAGAAAAGGTTTCCAAAACAGAGGAGACAAAAATATTCCAAAGCAAATGTTTCTTCACAGAAGTGGTAGAACTAGTTGGTGTTGATCAGAAAAGATTCCCTTCTGTTCTTCAACATCAAGGCACCCATGAGCAGGGCAGGAGGCCAGAGGGGGGAAGAATCAAATACAAACCAGGCCATAAGATCTTTAATAAGGCTTTTATCCAAAATGACTTTTGCAAAATAAGAACTCTGAGGCCAGAGATCGAAGGCCTTCACAGCTTCCCACTGTTTGGAAAGCTATGCAAATAAGACCCAAGGCCATGACTGGAGCACTTTACCAGTGATGGAAGGGAAGAACCTCAGTGCCTATAGTCTCACAGAACCTCTTCACAGATGAAAGAAGTCAGGAGGCAGGAACAGATATATGCTCTGTAAAAGGAGTTGTCAGGCCTGGTATAGTTTGGGAACTATAAAGGCAAGAGGAAAAGGAAGGCAAAAC